TGTGTATTTCTATAGATTTTATAAGTTTCAGAAAACAAGTATCGAAAAAACTGCGAAATGCAGTGATACTTCTTTACATGAGATTATAAATAATTCTTCTAGCAAAATGTTTGTGACAACCGCCAACTAGAATGCTGTCGTATCATAGCATTTTGAGGTATCGTCGAAAAAGCGTTACTTCTAAGCATACATTGTACTGTTTGATGGAATAAGTTGGCAAAAAAAATATGTCAAGTTTTAAAAGATGGAAAGGCCACATGTTGCGTCGTTACACTAAGCTAAGTTTTTGATGAAATTTCAGGAATATCTGAAGTGATAACAATATTTAGTTCTCTCTCATTTTCTTTTTAAGACTTCCCTCTGTTTAGGAATGAAAAAAAAATTTTTGTTGGGAAAGAAAATCTAAAAAATACGGCCATTAACCAGCCATGTTTCTATCTAGTATTCTCAGTGAAACTGTTTTACTCCCAAATCATGATTGAATCAGAAGATTGAAACAACCTTTGATAAATTTTAGCTTAATTTTACATATTTATTACTATTTTAATAAATATTCCCGTTCTTCTCACTGCATTCTTGCCAGGTAAAGCTTTACCTTCGAATTAAAAAAAATAAATCTTCTAAGTATCCCATCATTTTACTCATTTCAGACCTAATGATCGATTAATCTGCTGGTTGCCAATCAACTAATGACCACTTAATTTTAACGACTGACCATTGGACTTTTTTTACACTAGCTGAATAATTTTCATGAAAATTAGTTTTTCTCTAATCTGTTTTGAAAAAACAGAGTATTGGAAGATACGTGAATACATTTTAGCAAAATGCATTTTTGAACGCATTTTGAATTTCAGCACTACTAGGCAAGGTTCTTTCGTCTCAAAACTCATGATAATTTTGAAAATAATATGAGTCGTAGATAATTTTATTTGGTGATAGCGAAGAAAATAGCACAGAAATCGCATTTTGCGTTAGAGTTAACAACGTAGATCACATCAAATGTTAGAGCAACCTCCCTCCAGAATTTGATAAATCTACAACAATGAAATGGAAATGCGGTTTACTTATGTTTCAGGCATTATACAGCATCATGGATTTCCACTGGGTTTTATTAACCGCTTCAGCTATATTGTAACTAATGTATTTCTCAATATTCATCCTATTGAAGTCATGAACACCTTATCAAGTGAGAGTATCTGTTAGAACTCAAACACCTCAAAGAAGCGTGAATTCTTCTGTGCACTTTCTTTCAAACCCAACCAATTCAACATCGCTGACTCATCAGATCAGCGTCACTTAACTATTTCTAATATACAACACTTGAATGACATTTACATGGTAACTGTGGAAAAATGTTGAAGTTTTATCGACTGCAACTATGAACTTCTTGACCACATGTGCACTTAAGAAAATGCTGACAAGTGTCTGATGCTTGTCTTGCAATGATAAGTGCTTTGTTTCCGTTAATCCATAACAGTACACTTGAATGTGGCACACAGTTACTATTACAGATGTACTGTGGAATCAACACGGGTGATATCCCGAGCGAATGCAATTGTTACCATCGGTTACAGTATGTTTATTTTTTCTTGCAAAATCAAGTTAAAATTCATAGAAATTTTCATGGAAACTAAACATCATATCCATCTTTATATCATCGTTTCACGTTATGGACAGACGAACAAAACAAGATTGTGAAGAGCTTATTCACAAAATCCGGCCACGGTGTCCTCTTCTAGTTTAGTCTCCGTCGAAAGCAAGAAATGGAGGAAAGGAAGTAACAGCTAGTAAAAGAAGAATTGGAAAACAAAGAAAGAGATATTTAGGAATATAAGGATGCAAGAAAGAAAATATTGACGGGGCAGGGGAGGGGATGAAGTGAAATTCCTTGAAAAATCATTCGCACTCCCAACACTGTCTTAAAACTTGATTTTAAAGCATAATGTCAGACTATGAAGCAAGTTAATGAATGGTTTCAAAAAAATTTTCCTTTTCAAAAATAAAAGTATTTAGATTCAATACTGGCAATAGTAACTGCAATAACTGGCCACATAATTCCAGTGAAAACATTGCATGAAATTATAAAGTTAGTACTTCTACAGGAAGCGAAATTTTGGTAGGAAAAAATATTGCATGTAAGAGATTGTATTTCGAAACGACGCATCTATGAAAATCAAAAATTCGCACCACTTTCGAAACGACGCATCTATGAAAATCAAAAATTCGCACCACTTTAAAGTACTTTAGGTACCTTACTGACCTTTATCCAATTTTACAGTTACAGTCCAATCTTGCTGCCGAAAGAGTATGATATATGTATCATCTTGTATCATCTCATGCTAATAAACTGGTCGATGTGACCAGTCTTATGAAATATTCATTATAGACCGTCTTGTTGAGCACCGGATAAATATCTTCTGGACAGAAGGTAATGACGCTGCTGCTTTGACAACAGGTATCGCCTGGATTTCAACTCGATTACATCGTTAAATCTTCTTGACATGTAAGCACTGGCTTGGTGAATCTGACTTTTCTTCGGGCAGTGACAAAGAAACTTCCTCACGTCCTGTTCCATTACATACAACTACAAGATCATTTGGACACTTGCATTACTAGTGGAAACTGCTACGACCATAAAATTAAAATCTTCTGCTGTGTAAGCTTATGATAAATTACTAATGTAAGCTTACTGATGTAGACTTTTTATTTCAGACGGTAAGCCTCAAAGTTTTATTCTCTCCCTAAGGGTTTAGACATTTGATTCAGTTTAGGTCCATAATAACAGAAAATTGGCCAAATATATACGTTCCCCCATTCTCCATGGATTTTATATTTCCGATTTCCTCACCATTTCAGCAGTTTGATTTGTTTTCTTTTACCCGAATCTAGAAAGTACAATAGTGTAAAGCATATCCGGAAAGTCAAAACCGATAGCAGAATCGCAATGAAAAGCATAATAGTAATATGGAATACAATATAATGAGCACTGCATTCTAACAAGATACGAATCTTTGATGCCCCTTTATCGTTACTCAGAACCAAAACCACACCAACGGACCCGGAACAACTACTTCTTCATCCCGAGTGTTTGTCCTGCGATGCCACATCTAGAGCGCGGCCCATCAAGATTCGACAACTTTCACAGGTCTCCGATTTGAAAACTGCGAAATTCGCAAACTGTGAGTTACCATTGTTTGGAAATGGTTGGGTTAAAGAGAAGGGTACGGGGTATTCTCCGCATCGCCGTGAGGTAACGATCGATCTTATCCTTCTCCATCTCTGTTACACTCTTAATCACTGCAACTGTTACAATGCCTTATTATTTACTAATTTTCTTCATCTCCGACCAGCTTCGACCTAATGTCCATTGTTATTGTTTCTTACCTCTGTGCTCGGAATAATATTCTGTCCGTAGTTGTCCATTTCTCAGTCTCTTGCATATTTTCTACCTGAATGATTTGTTTTATTAATTACATTGAGAAGGTACAGAGAAGCGGACTGTTAGCACGTTCGATAAAGGAAATGTCCGATTTTTGAGATAACTTTTGGTTCTACGTCCTTTTTAGACTTACCACTCGTTCTTCATTATACGTCATTAATTTGAAGATAAAAAAAGCTACGGGTTTTGCAGTAGAATGATCCTGGTGAAAAGTTTGACTGCAATGGCAACGGAGAAGTTACTGCTGAAAACATCAGGTCAGCAATTCTTGGATGGTGTCGATTATATGTATCGCGTGGGGTTATCACCTGATCGATTGTCAGTCATGGAAACAACCAGTGGTAAATTCATCTTGCAGTTTCATTCACGATGCGATCTTCGTCCGTTCGCTGTACGCATTTTTTGTTTCTAC